GGAAATATCACAAGCCTTCAGAGCTGTCTGTAATAATCTTCTTAAAACCTCACAAAATGTGAGTCAGGATATAAGCAATAATGAAGAACAAACCCAAATGACTCAGGTTGCTGGTGAGAAGAGGGACGGCTTTTCGGAAGGGACGAGAGAAATGGCGGATAAACAACCGGAACCCGAGAAAGAAGAGAATCAGGAGATAGATATAGATTGGACAAAATATACAGCAGACCTTGTATTAGAAAAAGAAGATGTAAAAAAAGTCACCACAGTTGCTTCAGAAGAAAAAAAGGCAAAGAGACAAAAGAGAAAAAGAGGAAGAAAAGTATGGGTTAAACAGACTAAACCGAATAGAAGATTGAGGACTAATCATTTGAATTATGGAAGACGAGTTTCAAAGATGGAAATTCATGAATACAAAAATGCAAGGCACCTGGAAGAAGTTGAAAGAAAGATATGGAAAGAATAGGAGAGAAGAGATTAAATTTATGTTCGCTGATTAAAAAGGTTTAAGACTCTGTTTGAGATTTATATGGCTTTTGAAAACATACTAAGAGATTATGCTGTAATGAAGGAAGAAGTGATGTTTTGTAATGAAGGAAGAAGTGATGTTTGTTTTGTTCTTTTGTAATAAGGTTTATTTCATTAATGTGCTTTATAGCCATGAGAGACTGAGATGGATGGTGGAGAAATTTATATGGCTCTTGAAAACATACTAAGAGATTGTGCTGTAATGAAGGAAAAAGCGATGTTTTGTAATTATATATTTTCTGTTTGTGGGTCTGTTTTGTCCTTTTGTAATAAGGTTTATTTTGTTAATGTGGTTTATAGCCATGAGAGACTGAGACGGATGGTGGAGGAGAGAGTGAGGAATTATGAGATTTAGGTGTTGGTCTTTGTTAATTTTTTCTTTTTTCTTTTTGAAGTATACAGTGAAGATCAATAGGCAAGTATATATATTTTAGAACAACTAAGCAGGTAGCAGAGCCTTAAGGGTGCAGTTTCTTGTTCTTTTTGTTAATGTGTAAATGTTGTCTGGAGATTGATAAATATTTGGATGAGACTAACAGTGGAGTAAGTAGTGTTACTTAAGATAGCTTATAATATAAAGAAAACTAGCAGTGAGGTATATGCAGGATTGTTAAACATAAGATATATGGGTTTTGATACCTACTGCCTTTGTTCTCCAATAGACAGATTTACCTTTTGGTTGGGCTAGTTTAAATTGGAATTAGATAGTTCAAACAGGAAATAGAACAAAAGATGCTTAAGTGATTAAAAATAGCTTTACTATGAAGTTTAATAGTATAAATGTCTTTGATATATGAATTGATATGGTGATCTAATATTTTTATATATTTATTTATTTATTAGATTTTTATCCCGCCCTCCCGCCGACAACAGTAAAATGAATTAGTTTTTGAATGATAGAAATAGGGGGAAAGAATATAAAATGCAATGAAAGTGTAATTATCTGTCAATTTATTGAGGATTCTTGCGATGTATTCAACGATATGGGTATGTTTATGTGTCTGAAAATTAATAAATAGATTATTTTAAAAAGAAAGAAAGAGTCATATGCTGCCACAAAGAAAAGTGAATTTAAGAAATCAGAGACTAGCTAAATGGCTTTGAATATAATAACAAAGGTGAGGAAATGAATAATCTCTGTGGGAAGGCACATAAAGAGGAATTGTGCAAAAATTACCCAGAGATAGGCTCTTCCCAAAGCAGGATGGGGGAGAGACTGCAAGAATCTCTGATCAAATTCAGGGGGCAACCCATAAAGAAATGTTTTATATTATCACCAGGAGCCACAAAAAAATGATATATGGTTCATTGACAGCAGCTCCACACAGCATATGTGTGCTGATGAGGCATTTCTTAAAATGCTAGATGAACAAAAGAAAGAGAAATTAAGTGTTGTAGATAGACACCCTGTATGGGCTGAAGGCGTGGGCTCCGGGACAATAAACTGCAAGCTCCCAAATGGAGAAACCCAAGAGGTGCTCATTACAAACTGCCTTTACATTCCAAAGCTGCCCGGCCAGGAAGTCTGTAAAGATTCCCTGGCAGTGGCATATTCAGGCTGCGCATTCAGGCTGTGGAAGCAGCAACAGTTTTGGTACACTTGTGGCTCCTACTGGGGGTGATCGGCACAACATAGGTGCAGTCCATGGCCCCCGTGATGTTAAGGAAGCCCACAAACGGATGAGTGTCAGCTCAGTCTCCTCCATGGGGCCAGCATGGCAACTTTGGAAGCACTGGATCTCTGACAACTGGGACACCTCCAGGACCTTGGCCATGACTGCTTGAAATGAGACAGTGGGTAGGAATCAGTGGGACAGCAGTACTTTTTGTGACATGGGGATGGCCCTGTGGTGCTGAGCCGAGCTCCTCTCTCAGGGCTTGGAGATGGCCACCTGTCCAGGAAGGTGGCATTAGAGAGCTGCAGGGTGCTGATGCAATGACGGTACAGCATTGCTGTGCCACCCACACATATAGTGCTGGCAGGAGGTGGATCAGCCAGGTGTGTGTGTGTAAAAGGCTTAATATCATAAAACGGATGTCCGTAGAGAATGTGACACCATCCTCCCTCTTCAAATAACATAAAGTTGCCCAAAGTACTGTGTTCAGATACTGGATTTAGGCCTGAGGTTTGGGGCTGAAGTGGCCTTGGTCTCCTGATGGAGGATTTTCAGCAGAAAGGGAACAGCAATTACATTTTTACTTGGTGCATTTAGTATTGCAGGCAGACATGCAAAATGTGGGACAGTTCTCGATCACTGCATCTGTAGATCAGAATTCCTTCCTGCCATGCCACTCCTAAAAGGGCAGGCACCTTGCCAGAAACAAAGTTGGCAGCTTCACCTGTTCCCCCTTATGGCTTTTTAAGACATATACTTAGGATGTTCAGGGGTGTACTTGAAAATATATAATGAACAACTAGTAAGGACAAAGTAAGCGTACAGGCATTGGACAGAGACACACAGGGTGCGGTCAGATGGCGTGTTGGGAGCAGTTTAAATTGCTCCGGCCCTGATATGGTCTTTTTTAACCTGGAGAATCACGATCACACTCACCTCCTTGCTCCAGATCGCTGCGCTGTTGTTTTTCTCTCTCTCTGTTTGGGCATGCACACAGGCAGCCATCTGTGGAACTAAAATTTTCGCGCGTGCACGGAACAGCGATTTCCTCTTCAACCCGACTGCTGTAACGCTTCCCTTTAAACGTTTACCTCCGAAAATGGCTTCCGTGAGATCCCAAACTCATCTAAAGGCTAAAACTAGGTACCATTTAAACATCGCTTTTAATAACCCTGTGGTGGACCTCCGTCTATGCACACTCTGCCAACACTTTTTTAAAAATGGCGGGCAAAAAGCAGAAGCCTAGGGCATCTTTCGAGCAGGGAGGGGGTTTAAACTGGAAGTGGCTCAACACTGGAGGCACGATCACACAGGGGGGAAATGCGGCTGCAACCGGAGAATCAGGAAAACACCACTTGAGGACCTGGTGTCAAAATACTCCTGGTTAAATCAGTTTTGAGCCGGAAAGCGACAGCTGGGGATGGGAGGCAGATGTTGACCGTGTGATCACGCAGATAAAATCCATTTCTGAGGCGGCCCAAACGCAGACTAAACGTCCCGTCTGAATGCACCCACACATTCTGGCTCGCTCTCTCTCATACGAAGAAGCCAAGATTGGCTGTGGCACCTCAGGAACTTGCAGGGCTGTGTGAAAAGCCTTCTGCCTGAAACTCCAGAAAGACTTTCCATAAATGCTACACAAACACACACGGTCCAATGCCTTAAAGAGCTTTCTGAGATGCACAAATCCTTTCCTTTACTTTTTCTCCATCTCAGCAAAAGGTGTGTGCCTCTAAAACGAGCTTGCTTCCCTCCCCCACTACTTGAACAAATCCTACCCCAACTGCTAATAGCTACAGAAAAAGAGAGAATGGACTTTCTGGTCTCTGTTGTTGTTCAGTCACACAGTCGAGTCAGACTCTTCGTGACCCCATGGACCAGATCACGCCAAACCTTCCTGTCTTCCGCTGTCCTCTGAAGTTTGCTCAATTTCATGTTCGTTGCATCTATGACACTGTCTAACTATCTCATCCTTTGCCGTCACCAGGAGATTGCACCCCACCCAAAGAAGTATGGCAAGGGGGGGGAGGGATAGGTTGTTTCCAACTGGAGACAAATGCTGACTATGAAACTGACTCCTGCCTGAACATAAGAACAAGAACATGAGAAGCCATGTTCAATCAAGCCAATGGCCCATCCAGTCCAGGACCCTGTGTCACACAGTGGCCAAAATTCCCAGGTGCCATCAGGAGGTCAACCAGTGGGGCCAGAACTCCAGAAGCCCTCCTGCTGTTGCCCCCCAAGCACCAAAAAACAGAGCATCACTTGCCCTATACTTCCCTCCATACCTCCTGCTTCCCTGTCAGTCTGCCAGTCCCAGAGGTGTAGCCATGTTTCAGTGCAATCCTATGGAATCCATCCTATTGGAAGGACTGGGCTTAGACTTTGCACTATTGCACTGTTCATCTATGCCACAAAAAATCAGCACCTTAAAGGCTAACGTTCACGAAATAGTTTTCATGGACTGGAGCCCACCTTTTAGAATGTATCAGGTGGATCCCTCTGCTAATGGTTATGAAGAAGAAGGACAGAATAAATTTGGAACACTTTCTCCATGGCCTCTGTCCACAGAGGATCCTTTCATGTACCAGATGAAGGTGCTCCAGCCCATTAAAGATCATGCTAGACTCAAAATGTTTGTAAACTTCAAGGCAGAGGCCTGTGTCTCTAGTCTGATGTCCTCTGCCTTGGGAGATGTCTGAAAAGTGGGGTCACCATGTCCCAGTTAGGAGGCTGTTCCACTTTGCCCTCATATGGACCTTACTTGACTAAAGACACCTTGTAACTACAAGCTTCTTTTATAATAAATAATGATATTTTATTTCAGATATTATTCATCCTGCAGAAAAAGTCCAGCTATAATTTCACATGCAAATGTCTTTTATTTCTAATTGCACTACGGTTCTTGGGGATCTCAATAAATCTCTTCTTCTTGAGAAAACGTGGGTTATAGCGTTCACCAAACCACAAATATTCTGGGGAAAGTATTTTTGTTGGTTTATGGTACACAAAATACTTGTTTAGGTGGCTCTCTTCCTGCCAAATGGCCTCCATGCTTTTGTTTTTGTCGGCCATGATAGCTTCGTGGCACTTCTTGCTGAGCTTGTACACTTCAGCCGCAGTTCCTCCAAAGAAGCCTCCAGCGTAGTAAAAATCACCCTCATCTTGGGGAATGAAAGCTTCAGACTCGGGACGACGTTCATAGGTGAATGCTTTGCGCTCAGAGGGGTAAAAAGCTGGGTGAATCGTGCCAAATACTTCGCTCAAAATCTCTACTCCAACATGGTCACTAAACCACATGTCTACATCGACACACACCAGAAAGTCAACTTCATGGATAAAGCGCTGTTGAATGTAGTGACTGATCATCTCCATCCGGCGCATGGAGATTTCTTGCCACCTGGGGTAATTTTGGACTCTGAGAGGGACTATCTCCCTTCCAGCTTTGACAGTTATGTTAGGAACAGCTTCAGGCCTATCCATGAAGATATAATACTTCACTCTATGCCCAACCATGAAATAAGTCTCTGCAGTTTCTAGAAACCTCTGGAGGAAGACGACATACCTAGAAGAAACAAGAAGGCTTTTATCATTAGTTATGGAATGAATACAAAAGTAAACTGTCCAGACTCAAGACAGAATTTTGAGTCATAAATGAAGCAAATTTTACACATTTTTGTTCAGATAAGAGACAGGAAATTGTCTGACACCATTAGTGACCCGATCTGAGGGAGAAAGGATCCATTGTGTATTATTTCTTTCTGCAATGTTGCTCCAAGATGCCAATGATGTTTTTCCAAGATGCCAAGATCCAGTAAATATAGTAACACTTCTAAAGGTATCATCATCACCATCATCTTCATCATCAGTTGTAACTGATGAAAGCACAGAGGAGATAATGATGTGAATGACCTCTCCTGTCCTGAGATCTTACTGCTGTGGCCACCAGCACTTTACAGTTTTATTGCACTTTTACAGTGCAGTACTAAGCAGATTTATATATTCTTCTAAACCAACAGAGGCCCGACCTGGATGGCCCAGGATAGCCCGATCCAGTCTGATCTTAGCGGCTAAGCGGGACTGGCCCTGGTCAGGACTTGGATGGGAGGCCACCAAGGAAGTCAAGGGTTGCTCTGCAGAGGCAGGCAATGGCAAACCACCTCTCAACCTCTCCTGCCTTGAAAACCTCACAAAGTTGCCAGAAGTCAGCTGCCAGTCGACGGCACTTTCCACCATCACCAAATCACCAGAAGTTGACCACCTTACAAGGGTGTTCTTCTGCTTCAGGTTGCCCTGCAATAGTTCTCAAAGAAAACAACTCCTGTCTCAGAAGTCAGGACCAGGTGACACCTGAGTGCGGGGCTTTCTCTTCACCTGGGCAACCAGAATTTATGGCTTACGATGCGTAGTGAGAACAGAGGGCATCAAGGGACAGGATGTAAAATGCCCTTTCTACCAGGGATTTCTTATGTTACCTCAGTCCACATAACTACAAATTGGGGGGGGCAGCCTCGGCCCCAAAAAGGAGGCTTCAGGTCAAATTCCACAAGGCAGAGTCCACAGGGTACAAGAGGCTGGAAACCCCAGACCCACCCTGAGAACTCACTCACAGTCATTCCTCACTTGGGTACCTCCTCGTCTCCTACGTGAGCTGGTCCTGTTATAGATTGGGAACGCGGCACCGTGCAGAAGGAGCTCTGACCTTCCCCCACCTCCAGTGTTACTTGGAACACGAATGGTCCAGCAGGGAAGTAACAGTTCCCTTTTGTGCCTGGGGTGCCTGTGAGGGGGAGGCACTAAAGCTCCTTCTGCACAGTTCTGTAGTCCCAATCCAGAATCGGAACATCATGTGCAAGAAGCAATATATGACTGTGATGGAATTTACAGTTTGGGTCCCAGTGGGTGCGTTCAGACGGGGGATTTACAACGGTTAGGGAGCCGGTTCCAACCGGTGTACTTACGGGCGTTCACACGGCAAACATCTGCCTCCCGTCCCTAACCGTTGTAAATCCTTTTACACCGTTGTACTCTGCCACTAGGTCCGAAGTGGTGGTAAACAGAGAACAACGGTGGCTTCCGATACAAACCGGCGTCTGATCGCTCTCCACCGGTGATAAACTGCACCGGTTCCAACCGGTGCAGTTTATGTCGGCAGAAAGGCCGCGTCTGAACGCACCCAGTATGTGACATCCAGTTTCTGAAAATCAATCTTCAGTGTCTAAAACTGCCGGAAGAACTGCCATAATTCTGCATGGCACTGATGTTGCTGGACTGGCTTGGACCATCGACAGGACAATTTCGCCCTAATGAAACGATCGACACCATTTTCAGAGACCATCTTGTTGTATGGAGCACTTTAATTGTCTTTGTTGTGACTTAATAGCCTTTAAAGTTTTATATTGTTTGTATATATGGGCTTGTGCCCCCATGTAAGCCGCCCTGAGCCCATTCGCGGGGAGGGCGGGGTAAAAATGCAATAAATAAATAATAAAATGAAGGCAGTTCCTGGGTAGAAGGCCTCGTGGGGATACTTTGCATGCCACATGAGAAAGCTGGGATAATAAGAAAGCTCCACTGACAAATGAGGCTGCCTACTGCATGGGTGTGATCACACTGACAGCTTGGCACGATATGGCATTGCCTCTAATTATACTAGTTTAAAATGTTGCGGGGCATATCATCCAGAGAGCAACAGCACACCTTGCTGCGAGTTACCCACATGGCCGTCTCTTGGTCAAGCATCCACATGACTGTAGCACCTCAGCCACAGAGCAAGTTGCCTGCCCCTTTTTTAAAATGCAGGTGGGCTCATATGTGCTCATGCATGCACATATGCACTCATGCGCATGTGCACTCATACTCATATAGGCAAAAATAAAAAACACATCCCAGCAGCAGAAACAGATCTGCAGGTTCAGACCACCAATCCATTTTGCATGTGCTCCTCCACACTCAGGCATCTGGCCATGCACAATGAAAGCATGGGGAACGAAAAACACCACTTGTGATGTGGTGCCTTTTCAACCCAGCTCCAAGTCATCCTACAGCACGGAATGCCTGACAGATGTGGCTGTGTGACTGCACCCATTTGATCCGGAGGGAAGGGGTGGCTATGTCAGGCCAAACTGCTCATGTGATCACACCCAATGAGTCAGTGTTTTGGCCTGACAACCTTTCAATCACCTTGGAGACACGGAAAGTGATTCTGCCATGAAATTGCTGAGCGGTCAGGTTAGAACAGATAAAAGGAAGTACTTCTTCACCCAAAGAGTGATTAATACATGGAATTCACTGCCACAGGAGGTGGCGGTGGTTACAAGCATGGACAGCTTCAAGAGGGAGCTGGATAAACATATAGAGCAGAGGTCCATCAGTGGCTATTAGCCACAAGGTATAGATAGTGTAAGGTTCCACAGCCAAACAACTGAGTACACGCTTATCATAAGGTTATACTTTATTGCCAGAGCTATAGAGGCAGTAACATCGTCACTGTTAGGAATGTCTATGTTCCTACAAGCATAATGTGATATAGGGTATTCGTATGCAAACCCCCCCCCCATCCCTAGGCCAATTGGCCTGACTCCCGCATGCGGGAGAATGGGGCCCCAGGATGTTAAAGCTGAAGCTGGGAATCGAAACTAGTCCCATAGGTAATTGATGGGAAGACACTACACAGGCAGCCTACAAGGTCAGAGATAATAAGGAACGAAGGAATGCAGCAGCAGTTGGTACACAGGTCAAGCAAACGCACTCCTGTCCATAAACATCATGGCAGCATAGCTGACACCAGGTTGACATACCTCGCAATACAGGTAGATTGGGAGGCAAAACAACCCTGGAAAAAGGTCCACTAGGACTGGGACTCCTGCCCAAGGCAGCCACCTTGCTTTGGCAGAGCCAAATGCTTTTTTTTTTTTTTTTTGCATGCCATTCCACCAAATAAAACAGTTTTCCACGTTTGAGTTTAGAGTCCAGGATCTTCAAGATTTCAAAATGTTCCTCGCCCTCGATCATGATGGGGGGGGGGGAACTGGCTGAGATGGGTGCCATGGGCTTGAACCTGAAGTCCGTTTCATGAGGCTGAGATGAAACACAGAATGGATATTGCTCAAGTTCTTGGGCAGATCCAAGTCCACAGCCACTTCATTAATAATCCGTTTTACTTTAAATGGTCCAATACATTTCCACCCCAGTTTATGGCTGGATCGCAACACTTTAGTGTTCTTAGTAGACACATACACCGAATCCCCAGGCTGCAGAGCCCAACCCTCCATTCTTCTCTTGTCAGCCTGAGTCTTATAACCCTCCTTGGTCGCATTCAAAGTCTTGCAGAGGAGCGGCCAAGAGTCCTTTAGGTGTTGACAGCATTGTGCTGCATCCCCTGTCCCCAACTCTGTGGGCCCCTTCAGGAAAGGCACTGGGGGGCTGTCATACCCATACAACGCCTTAAAAGGGGACATCCCCGTAGATGAGTGACATGTGTTTTTATAGCAAAACTCGGCAAGGGGTAGGAGATCCACCCAATCATCTTGTTGATAGTTAGTGAAGCGGCGCAGATATTGCCCCAAGGTTTAATTCACCCATTCTGTCTGTCCATCGGTCTTGGGGTGATAGGCACTGCTTAATGCTCGTTTGACTCCCATAAGCTTCATAAGCTCCCCCCAGAACCGGGAAACGGATTGGGCCCCCCATCGGATATATCTTTGGCTGGAAGCATGTGTAGACGGACCACGTGGAGCAAGAAAGCTTTTGCCAGTGCTTTTGTCATGGGTAGGGAAGCAAACAGGACAAAATGTGCTTGCTTAGAGAATAGATCCATGACAACCCAAATGACCGACATAGTCTTACTCGGGGGCAAATCCGTAATAAAATCCATGGAGATTGCCTCCCACGGATGACTCGGAGTCGGGAGAGGTTGCAGCGGTTTGCCCAGTCTGGATTTACACATGGCACAAGTTTGGCATGACTTTACAAACGCTGACAAATCCTTTCGCATCTGTGGCCACCAGAGTTGTCTTTGCAGCAGCTGCGAGGACTTATCAAACCCGGGGTGACCGGCCAATTTTGAGCCGTGCACCGCGTTCAATACTTCCCCCCGCAGGGAATTTGGGACAAAATGTTTATTGCCCCAGTACCAACACCCATCCGGTTTGACTTCCAGCTCCCCCTCTGACTCCACCTCCACCTTGTTGCCCTCCGAGAAGGCGGAGATAAATCTACTGTTCCAAGGTGTCCCGCCTGGTGAGGCAGGGGGGTGGGGACTGGGTCCCAGCTGCATAGTAGGTGAGGATGGGCTGGAACGGCTGCACGTAGTCACCGCCCCACCGAGCTGTGAGGGCATAAACATAGAGTCTAAAATCAATTCCCATTGGCTGTTGTGTTGTGGGAGGCGGGATATTGTGTCAGTGAGGGAGTTCGCAGACTCAGGGAAATTATGAAGTGTAAATTGGAACTTGGAAAAGAAATTGGCCCACCGCAGCTGTTTGGCGTTGAGGCTCCGGGGTGTTTTAAGCATTTCCAGGTTCTTGTGATCAGTCCAAAGTTCAAATGGGACTCGCGCCCCTTCCAACCAGTGCCTCCAGGTAGCAAGTGCCAGCCTGTTCGCCCCCGCCTCTTTTCCCCAAACAGACCAGTTACGCTCAGTGTCATTAAACTTTCTTGACACATAAGCTAGGGGGTGTAGTAACCCGTCATCCCCCTCTTGCAGGATTGCTCCCCCCATAGCTACGTCTGATGCGTCGACTTGGACTATGATTTTTTTTTTCCATCGGGGTGGGCTAGGATGGGTTCTGATGTGAACAGGGATTTAAGGCGTTCAAAAGCCTCTTGGCACTCCTTGCTCCAAGCCAGCGCCGCCCCCAGCTTGGCAGCCTCAGGACCCTTTCCTTTCATTTTCAACATCAGTGAGGGGCAAACTGATTTGTGCAAAGTTGGGTAGGAAATTTCTGTAAAAGTTCGAAAAACTGAGGAAGGAATGTAATTGGTGGTGGGTGCAGGGGGTTTCCCACCCCAGCACATTGCGGACCTTCCCCGGATCCATTTCTATACCCTTATTCAATATCTGATACCCCAGAAAGACAATGTGTGACTTGTGAAACTCGCATTTGGAAAGTTTCGTGAACAGTTTGTGCTTATGCAACGTCATCAGGACTTCCCTCGCCAACTTCACGTGTGACAGGAGGTCGGGGGAGTACAGTAAGATATCATCCAGATAAATGAGGGCCCCTTTAAACAGATGCTTGTGCAACACTTTGTTAATCAAGTTCATGAAGACCCTGGGACCCCCTGAAGACCGAATGGCATTACGTGGTATTCGAACTGGCCAAGGGGTGTGTTAAAGGCATCCTCTGGGATGCGGACCCGGAAGTATAAATCCCGGAGGTTTAGTTTCAAAAAGACTTTCCCTTTAGCCGCTTCGGCTAGTAAATCCTTGATGAGGGGCATGGGGTAGGCATTAGTTGATGACACAGCATTTAAGCCCCGATAATCCGTGCACAGTCGCAAGCCTCCATCTTTCTTTTTTCAGAACAGCACCAGGGCCGCAAAAGGGGAGGAGGCTGGCCTGATGAAACCACTTGCTAGGTTCTTATCAATCGGCCCCATCGCATAGATGTGCACCTTAGGCAATTTGTGCCCTGGCAGCAATTCGATACTACAGTCTGAGTGCCTATGGGGGGGGAGCATGTCAGCTTCTTCTTCTTCAAAGACCCTAGCCAAGTTTCGGTATTCGGGGAGAATGGATTGTAATTCCTCTTGGGCTTTCCATGAAAGGTTGTGACCCCCACTGTGGGTTCCATCGGTGCGATTGGCACCGAGGGGAGATGAACTGCACCTTCCCCTCATTCCACAAAATGTACGGGTCATGTCCATGCAGCCAGGGGCTCCCTAATACCAACGGGAACCTGGCTGCGGGGTGATCACAAATGGACGTTCCTCCCGGTGATACCCCGTCCCCACCCCCAATGGGACCATCTCAAATCCACACGGCTCCTTCATCGTGGACCCATCCATTTGGGTGAAAATTAGGGGGTCTTGCAGTCTCACCACCCCCACTTCTAACCCTGTTACTAAGGATGGATTAATGAGGTCCCTCTCACACCCTGAGTCAATAAGGGCTCTCACACGAATGTGGGTTCCTTGGGTCGGGTTAATAATAGTCACAGTCACGAAAAACAGGGGGGGTAGCTGCTCACCGCTCTTGGCGCATCCAGGATCGGGCCCTGCTGCTCCGCGCCACTCACAGCAGTACCTGGCCTTTTCCTGCCAACTTGTTGCCTTCGTCCTCACTGGATTCATCCCAGATTTCTTATGGGGTGACCTGTAGCGCTTTTGCGAATTTTGGTTTCCCTGCTGGCTTCTTCGCTGGTGTGCCTGGCCGTGCCTTGGCTGGTTCCGATTGCGCCAGCTTCCCCAGGCTTGATCCCCTGAAGTTGGCCATGAAATGGCCCCGTTCCCCACACTTTAGGCAGAGCCCTTGTCTCATCCGTTGCTCTCTGGTAGACTCAGCCGGGCATGCAGATTTCACCTTCAGTTGGAGGGAGTTGGGCTTTCCTCCCCATTTCACGGATCTCTGGGTTCAACCCCAACCGGTACAACTCCACTAAGACCTGATCCAGCCAGTTTTGGACCTTGGCCGCATGCAATTTAAACTCCGACAAGTATTCTCTCACTGACCGCTTCCCTTGCTTCAGGGTGCGTAAGAATGCCCTCACTTTGGGCCCGGCATTCCGATCTTCAAACTGGGCCCACATAAAAGCGTCCAGGCTCACTAGCTCCGGGCCCCTCGCGTTGTGTAATCCCACATACCACACCACGGCAGCTCCTCGTAACTGGGCAGAAATAGCATCCACTCGACTGCTGTCGTCAGGGAACAGGTGGCCCCATCTTTCCACGAATTTCATCACTCGAATCACAAAATAGGACAGTTCCTCCGGGTCCCCGTCAAACATTGCCTCGATCAGGTCCTTCAGGCCGTGGTGCAGGGGACCTTTTGGACTGCCTGGCTGTGGCACCGGGGCTGGCCCCTCCACTGGCCCTGGCACGTCCGGAGGTCCCAGCGGTCCCGGTCTTTGGGGTGCTGGTTCCAGGGGTGCTTGTCGAGGGGGGGAACAGCAGGAGTCGGCTGTTGTGCCTCTCTCTCGGCCCTTAGGGCTTGCAGCACCATCTCTGGGATTTCCTTAATTACTTCCTCAAGTTCCCGTCTTAGTTGGCGCCTGTCCCGCTCCACCGCTTCCAGGCGGTGAGCCAACTCGAGTCCCTCGTCAAGGGAGGTGCAGCTGCTACACGTCTTGGAACGGTCCATCACCCATGCCCCGGCCAGTGCTTCCAAGGCTCCCCCAAACGGGGGAAAGTCACCTTTGGATGCAAAGCCCACATCAAACCGGCTGTCTCTCTGGGGCCCCTGCGTGAGCACGTATGTTTCTGCCGTTGAATCCAGGATAAATTGGCCCCACCTTAATGCACCTGGTCGATACCCCTGCCCGGGCAATTGCCTTGGTCCGCAGGGGGTCAGGAAAAGGTGAGCTGAAGTCATTTTTGGTACGGTTCCGTGCCCCAGAGCCTTCCTCGGGGTAGTCACCGGTGGCGTAGTAGTCACTGGCACGTCGGTCTGGGTGGTGGGTATTTCCTCCCCAGTTGTTGTGGGGATAGGTTTCTCCTCTTCGTCGTTCATCTCGGATTGAGAGAGGCACGTAGATAGAGAAAGTGGATTCCTAACAGAATGTAAGGTTCCACAGCCAAACAATTGAGTACATGCTTATCATAAGGTTATACTTTATTGCCAGGCAGTAACACCTAGGAATGACTACATTCCTACAAGCATAATGGGATATAGGGTATTCGTATGCACACACCCCCATCCCTAGGCCAATTGGCCTGACTCCCGCGTGCGGGATAATGAGACCCCAGGCTGTTAAAGCTGAAGCTGGGCAACCTACAAGGTCAGAGATAATAAGGAATGAAGGAATGCAGCAGCAGTTGGTACACAGGTCAAGCAAATGCACTCCTGCCCATAAACATCATGGCAGCATAGCTGACAGATAGGAACTACACAGGCTGGGGCAGGTGATGCACTGTATTCTTGGTGCTTGGGTGGGGCAACAGTGGGAGGGCTTCTAGTGTCCTGGCCCCACTGCTGGACCTCCTGATTGCACCTGGTATTTCTGGCCACTGTGTGATACAGAGTGTTGGACTGGATGAGCCATTGGCCTGATCCAACATTGGCTTCTCTTATGTTCCTATGCCGTGTCTCTATATCATTCAGTTAGCACCACGGCTACCCCACCATAAGACAGGGGAGTGGGGGAGAGACCAGCAGCAGAAAGAATAAAGCTTCATACTCATGAAAGGTCAGACTCCAGAGAGGAAGACACCTAACCAGTGTTCCCTCTAACCTGAGTTACTGTGAGTTAGCTCACAGTTTTTTAAGCCTCTGGCTCACACATTTTTGCCTTAGCTCAGGAAGCAGAGGTCATTTCGGGGGGGGAACGCGGGGGAACGCAGTTCCCCCGGGTGAGGTATGGGGGCGGGGCACATGATGAAGCCCCGCCCCCTGCTTCCGGCCGCCCCGCTTCCGGCCCTCATTCAGCCAGGAGGAGGCAGAAGAGGGTAAGTTGCTCCCTCCCTGCCTCTCCCCACCCCTGCCTGCCTTGGGCCAGGGAGGGCCTTCGCGGGGCTTCCTCGCACTCCCGCCAGCCTTGCAGGTCCACCGCCGGGCCCCTCATGGGGCTCGGCAGTGGAGCTTCAAGGCAGGCAGTGGCGGCCGGGACCGTTGGGGGCGGGGTGTGTGGCCTTATGACACATTTCCGATGATGTCAGGGGGTGTGGCCTTATGACACACTTCCGGTGATGTCAGGGGGTGTGGCATATGCTAATGAATTATACTAATGAGTTCCCCTAGCTCTTTTTCTACGAAATGACCCATGTCAGGAAGGATGGCTCTAGAGCAAACTAATTTATGCAACTGCCAAATTGCTCGCTCACAGCTTTAATGCCAGCAGCTCACAAAGTAGAACTTTTGCTCACAAGACTCCACAGCTTAGAGGGAGCATTGCACATATCCCCCACTGCTTGCTTCCCTCTCCAGTTAAGCCAGGCTCACTTTTTGATAGCAAACACCGTCAGTCCAATGGTTGCGTTCCTTTGCCTGAACTGCTCATTCAAGATATCCAAGTTGAAGGTCCCTTCCCAAATAATCGGGGCAAGCCAGGGAGTCACTGTAAGGACGTCGGTTCTCCTGTGGGGAAAGAAGACTTCTTCAGAATCACATTACGGAGCTGCACAGACAATGCCTATATTTGTTTGCTTGTTTCTACTCTTCTTTTCCTCCCCAACGGGAGACCCAAACATCTCCTTACATCATTTTCTGCTCCTCCATTTTATCCTCCCATCAACCCTGTGAGGCAGGTTAGGCTGTATCTGACTGGCCCAAGCAGTCGCCCAGCAAGCTTGCACGACAGGCTGAACATTAGAACTCGGGTCTCCCAGATTCTACTCTGACCTCTACACCACACTGACTCAGAAGACAACTTTTTAAAAACTCTGTAGTTATCAAACTTTCCCCAGTGGGGCTGGGGCAGAATTCACCGGGTGCCCAGAACAGCCGTCCTGGCAAATGTTGAGCCATTCTGGGCATTACTTACGGTGGCTTAAAGATGTGTGGCTTTGAGTAAACCATTCTGAAAGAAAGAGAGAAGATGGGTTTTAGGAACAGTTCTCCATAGACTGAAGAAAATCCCTGCAGGCTCTTCTGCAAAATTATTCTCAGCATTATGGGCTACATTTCAGGGCTATGTCTCCATTTCAGAGACTTTGCCAGTAGCAGTGGTAAGGACAACTGGGGACTTGGTGGGGACTCAGCGCCATCGAGGGTTTCACCGCATGATCAGCTCCAGTGTAGAAAAATCCCAGCAGGAACTCATTAGCATAATAGGCCACACCCTGACAGCGCAGGTCATTGGCATATTAGGCCACACCCCCATGCCTTCCCTCGGCTTGCCTGGGTGCCCCGCGGCTGCAGGGAGCCCAGGCAAGCTGGCCCTTGGGACAGTCTGGGGAAGGCATGGGGAGGCCTGGCCTGGCCTGCCCGCCTCGGAGCCACAGGGGGTGTCGCTCTCCAGGCCTTCCCTCCGTAGCCACACACGCAGAGGTTTTGACTGCAGTGGGCATGGCCAACTCTGAAGCCAGCCGGAACTCCGTTCCTGTGCTTTCTTGCCCCTGATCAGCTCCATCACGGCTCTCAGAAAGGCAGGCTCTGAAGGGGGCAGGGGCAACAGCTGGCTGCATTAGCAGTCCGTCCTCTGAGGCCACGTCCCTGATTCTAGAAAGCTGTTCTTTAGCCCGGAAAGATCTTTGGCTCATAGGACATTGTGTGAGTGTCCCTCATTTCAGATGCCAAAATGCCAAGGTATTGAACAGTAAACTCTGCAGTAGTCTTCCCTTACTTAAGGTCTGCCAACAGTTCTTCACAGTGAATGGGGAATGCCTGGCTGTATTGCCATGACCAGAATGGTCCGGGCGAGTCCAATCTTAAGAGAGGCTGGACGCTTAGCAGGGTCAGCCCTGGCTATGGGAAGGTCCAGGGTTCTCCAACTCAGTGCCCGTGGGCTCCATGGTGCCCGTCAATACTTCCCTTGGTGCCCACCAAGCTTTTCAGAAAGTGGGCAAGGCCCTTGTAAGGCATGGGAAGTTTTTGGCTTGTTGTTGTTGTTGTTCAGTCGCACCGTCGAGTCCGACTCTTCGTGACCCCATGGGCCAGATCACGCCAGGCCTTCCGGCTGCCCTCATCCAAAATGGAGGGGTTTTACAGCGGAGGCTCAGGCGGACCGGCTGTACTTCAGGCTTTACTTCTTCCCAAGAGTTCCATTTGGCACCTCCTCTTGAAGAATACTTTATTTTGTTTTTTATAATAAACAGAGTAGTATATTTGGTTGACCCCAATATGAGCACCCTACAAGAATGTGGAAAAAAAGATCTGCCATCTTCCAAAATGGCAGCTACAGCTAAAATGGCTGCCTCTGCAAGTAATACAATAGTGTATTTGGCTTGATCAATCTCAAAAACATATTTTTTGACACCAAGATGAGCATCCTACATGAATTTTAAATATCAAAATAACAATATCTGCCATCTTGGAAAATGGTGGCTATAGGAAAAACATCCCAGCATTGGAATGTCGACCAAAGAAAATTTCAGAGCCATAGTGACATGACTTCTGAGACACACACAAACAATAAAATTCTCTGTTCATTTTTTGGTGGGGGTCTGTTGTGGATCCAGGACTAAAGAAATCTGAGGGAAATCTCTTAACCCTACATCTCACACAGTGTATTGGAATATATTGTTTCAGAAAGCGAGAGACTGAGAAGCAGTTTCACTTTGTCAGTTTCTGGCTCTCACATGCTGTTACGTATGTATAAACACCAACACCATATTTTTAACAGCAAAACCATTATTTCCCCTTCCACGGAAATAAAGTGTTTGTTACTTCTGCTCTCCTTCTTGGTTCTCACAAATGAAGAAGGTTATTCCATCTTAATTACCAAGGCAGGAGACAGGTGAAGTGTACCTCTCCACAGTCTGCTTGAGGAAGGCAAGAAGGTACTTTTAAATATTAGTACAATTTCCCTCATGGGTGGTTAGCCTGCAGAGAATTTTCGAAGTACTATTATTTAGTAATCCTGTGGGCACTTGGTTATTTGAGTTTGTCCTGTAAAGGGGGAGTGGGTAAGGAGAGTTTGTCTTCAAATTCCTAGAAAGAAATAACACGCTACCAAAGGAACATTTTAGGGTTTTTAAGCATCCTACATTCTCACAAAATAAAAACCCTCATGGTTGCTCCCCACTCCATTTCACTGGATTTTTAGAACTGATCAGTTGCATTTTAAAAATGTCACTTAATTTTTGCTATCTAATTAGTCTCTTAGGAGCTGCGGTGGCTCAAGTGGTTAAGACGCTGAACTGCAGGCTGTGGAAGGTCAGTAGTTCAGCAGTTCAAGACCTGGGTGCCGCATGATGGAGTGAGCTCCCATTTCTAGTTCCAGCTACTGCCAACCTAGCAGTTCGAAAGCAAGAAATTGCAAGTAGATAAATAGGTACCACTTCGGTGGGAAGGTAACAGCGTTCCGTGTGCCTTGGTGTTTAGTCATGCCGGCCACATGACCACGGAAACGTCTTCGGACAGCGCTGGCTCTTCGGCTTTGAAACGGAGATGAGCACCGCAACCCTAGAGTCGGACTCGACTGGCTTTCAAGCAAGGGAACCTTTACCTTTAATTAGTCTCTTGCATTGTTTTTCATTGGTCTTGTTTGATTCTTGCCCTAAATTGGGGTATTTTTTTTGACCTTTTTCATCATTTTGAGATCTTGTATCCTTTAGTATTTTCATTATAATTAGTGAGAAGCAAGGTATAAATATTGTTGTATTAAATACATGCTATCATAACAATGTAATGACAAATGGAAGGCAAGGAATAGATGCATGGCGGGTAGTCAAGCACTTTACATCACACACAGCTTTAGGGTTGCCGGGTCCCTCCTGGAAACCAGTGGGGGAGGGGGGGACTTACCAGTAGAAAGGCGGAAGTGATGGCATCATGCCTGCGACTTCCGGCTGTCAGGTTCCACAGCCAAACAAAGGAGTACATGCTTATCATAAGGTTACACTTTATTGTAAGAGCTATAGAGGCAGTAACATCATCAATGTTAGAATTAATTTATGGCTATCTAAAGTATGGGAATATTTTTTATTAGAAACCGTTTCCATTTTTAACACGAATGATCAAAATGAATGTGAACTAATGAACCCAACTGGTAAATGGTATCCGATTGTGGATAAGTTAACCTTTGAGTCTTTTGATTGGAAAGCGATTAGTGCAGCACAATACTCATTGTTATTAATAAGCTAGCAAACTTCTATCAGTATTTGAGTAAGTCAAATTGGAAGTCTGTATACACACTGACATATATATGAAAAATTGTTAAAATGTTGTTTGAGAACCTGTATTTATTTGTTATGTTCTGAATTAAAATCTAATAAAATATTATGGTTAAAAAAAAATCTGTTGAGGCATATTGTATATCCAGTACTACATTGTTTATATGTTTTAATTGATTTATATGTTCCTAATTTTAATTGTAAATCTGCATTGTGTGCAGATCAGTTTGTCTGGAACCTGCCCTAAGAGGGATATAAATGTAATAAAATAAATAAATAAAATAAATAGACTTGGGGGGAAGAGACCTTTCAGAGGTGGCTTGGCATTGCCTGCCTCTGTATCATGCCCGGAATGCCGCAGCAGTTGGTACACAGGTCAAGCAGATGCACTCTTGCCCATAAACGTCATGGAAGCATAGCTGACACTGGGTGATGCTTTAGTATTTGGACAAAAACTCTTTGGTAAAACCTGGTCCTACCATAGAGTTTTTACCCAAATACCAGAATGTTGCCCGCAAGTCACTGGCATGATGACATTGCTTCCTGTGTGATGCTGGCAACGTGGCCTAGGCCGCCTTCTTTCTACTGGTAAGTCCTCCCCGCCAGCCAGCTGAACGGGAGCTGGGGGGCAGGGCCTGGCAGTGGGGGACCCCCACCTCCTGAATTGGACCAATAGTGCATGCAGCTCAGAGGTGTCTCCTCTGACTGGTAGCAGCCCTCCAGGGTCTTGGGTGCAGAAAAGTCTGCTATCCGAGACTGTTTTAGCCAATGAGGTCAGTGATTGCATCTTTGAGCATGCAAGGCAGGTGCCTGCCACCAAGTCATGGCCCCACAACCTATGCACATTCTGCCTTTTGAGGGGTTGCACCGGTGACCCTCAGGAGGCAGCAGCTCTCTGATGCTGGAGGTCAGAAGGTTTTTTCCCAACTCCACAATGCAAGACGCCAGAGACTCCGTCTGGTACAAAGCATGTGTGCTACCATACAGTGACTGCACTTTCCCATGTTCAAACGTGAGCCAATGTAACACAAAATGGTACCTTGGTAACTCTATTTCTGGTAAACCATCCAAGAGATCAGTCCTGTTTCTGTAGAAGGAAAAACTGGAGAATACAGTGAACGCAGATAAATTGATGTCACAGTAACCATTCCTCAGACTATAAAACAAGTGTTTAGCTTTCTAGTTGCAGGATCTTTCCCTGCTCCAGAACCCAAGATCCTTGTAAGTGGAAATGCTGACGACTGAGGTTGATGCCTTATGCACACAAAGCATGCCCACCACCTCACGCTCATGGCCCTCCCCGAGTTCAGATGTGAAAAGGGTAACCCAAAACTGCACCCAGATAGCTCTGTTTCTGGCAAACCTGATTTTGTTTCTATGGAAGGAGAAATTATGGAATCCAGTTGACACAAAAAAGTCATAGTAATCATTATTCAGAATATAAAACAATGTTTCGCTTTAGTACTGTAGTTTGTCAGCTGTAAAAAGACAGTACAATTCATTTTAACTGAATGAAAGTTCATTTTAAAATATTGTTCATTTTCCCCACTCTTAAGGCTTGTTTAAAATCTGCCTCTCGGTAGCCCCATTTGAAACCCATCCCGCCTGGAGGCCCCTGCACCCGGGCACTTATTTATTTATTTATTGCATTTATATCCTGCCCATCCCATAAACGGGCTCAGGGTGGGTTACAACAGTTCAATAAATACAATAAAATTTAAAACACGTTAAAACATATAAAAT